AGTATAGTATAGTATAGTATATTATAGTATAGTATAGTATAGTATAGATTAAAACATTTAAAATCAGAGAACTCACATGAAAAATGACAATTTTTTTTCTTATTGTTTAACCACATGTTTACTACATTTGGTAAAAAAAAGAAGTCAAAGCCATAATTGCCTGTGTATGTGTGTCCATGTATATGTGTTAGCAAAATATTTTTATAACCAGTAAAATTGAAAGCAATAAGTGAATGCATAAGTATGTTTTCAAGTCAACTCAATTCTCCATCAACTTCATAGCAAACACAAATTTTTTTTATAACTGTCATTTTTTAAAAATGCATGAAGCTTCATTTTGGTGTTTAGCTGGGGGCCTCCCCAACACATACTCTCACTCAGAGCTTTTCAACCAAATTCCTCGAGGGGCCACAGTTACTCCCCAGTTCTCAGTAGGGGAAAAACTGCATTAACCAGAAGAACAAGTATCTTTTAAATCTAAATTTGTTTATTTTGTAGCATTGAATAGTACATGTCATCTCCACATTTGATTTAAAAACTATCTTTTCTATTAAATTGAGTGAATAAAATAAGATAAAAATTGTTTTTTTCATTGATAGGCCAGAGGGAAGTCACATACGAGCCAGATGTGGCCCGTGGGCCACCAGTTGAATAGCCCTTCTCTAAATCACACAAGATCTCAAACTTTGGAACAMAAAGCAGTGAGGGGAAAGGCATTCCTTTAAGGATTGCTAAATGAATTTATGTTAGGTCTCATCTTCTGTAACAGTGCAGACTAAACACTCCCAGTTTGTTAGTTTTTGAATAAACTTTATGTCACAGAATTTATCTTGAGATGAGATTAGTGCGTCCCCACCAGTGCGGTTCTATGACCTCATGTTAGCARCAACAGCGTGCACAGGAAGTTGGTGTTTATCTCCCTGGTTGTCACTCAAACAGAACAGCAAACCTGATTTGTTGAAYACTATTTGTCAGCTCTGGGAGTCCGGATTCCCATCAAACCTCAGCACACTCCRGCACTTAAACTCTGTCAACACACACAGTCCACACTGTTAGTAAATCTGTCAGCTGCACCTCTCACACATCAGTGTTTGCACTTTATCTGACATGAGAAAGTGAGAAGAAAGGAGCAGAAACAGGCGGTACAGATCATTGCTGTATGAAAGTGCTCATCGTTGTGTGAATGCAGCTCTGGTGCATGGGGGTGTCGGGATGGGAGTCTATAGGAACGTCTCCAGCTGAGCTAAAACACAATTAGATTGTGCTGATGATTTTTAACACGGTTCATCCGATGGAGTTCGCTGCAGATTCAATCTGTGAACAACTTGTAATAGCCATTATAAACCCTGATGGTTCACAAATTAAATTCTGCGCCGTTAAATGTAAACTAACTTCCTCTTGTTTTGTGCTCGACTTTACTTTTAATGAGGCATTTAAAAAAATCGAGAAGAGTAAACGAAAGACTTCCTTTGCTTCTTTTATGTTCCCCTCTGAGTTATATGACCAGATTTACACTTTAATACAGATTTAATTCTCCTGKGCTCATGCATTTAAACGTTTTAATCTCTCTTTGTTGAATGCTGACTCAGCATTCACACAAATGTTTTCGTTTTTTTATGCTTCTGAACATTTTATAATCTAACAGCTTCTGCGTGTTTCATGCTGTTCTAGCCAGTCATATCAGAATACTCAGCTCATTAGGAAGAAAAGTGCTCTGACTATATATTTTTTGATATATTTAACTTTATAAACAAATAATTTGCCCCTAGAAACGCATTGACATCTTTTCGGTTCTAACAGTCATTGTTTTTGAAATCTGCTTCAAAACTTGTTCGTGTTTTTTTATGCTACAAAGAAAAATGTTGGCAGTGAAATCTGAAGTAGAAGAGCCACACMTGTATACGAACATCTGCATCTACTGCCACACTTTGTTGTTTCATAAATAATTAAAAAAACAATCCTTGACATGAGCTATAAAGTATCTCAGACAGATACAATGCAATCTCACTTTAAATCTGCTTTACAGAAAGTTAACTTAAATGAGATCGAATAACCGAAACTGAAGAGTGTCACTTTTTTCTTTCAGTTTAAAAATGCTGACAAAACAACAAACTGCTTGAACTGCAATTAATCACAGATAACTCTATTCCAAGTGTCACGCTCGACGAATCGGATGCTCTCTCACTGCCTTTAATTCCCACCTCCAGTTTAAAGGATATCTCTGAGAAGCTAAAGCACACAAGTCATGAGAGCATCATGATGACAGAACAGAGCAGGAGGAGAGACAGTAATATGGATTCTTTGCAACAGAAATCATCATCCCAATATTCATCTCTAATAGTACAATTGCATGTTCTATATTATAAAATTATGCATTTTTTTTTGCTGTTTGTGCAGAAATAATTAAAATATTTTTTGCTTTTCTGTAAAAAATACCAAGATTTTTTTAAAAAA